AAATAAACCCAACACAAGAACACCAAGCACACACATACATACACACTGACCGACAGTCAAATGTGAACAGAAAGAAAAAAGATATTATTACTCGTTATTGTTTTTCATATTCATTTTGTTACCATTCAAATAATGCTTACTTGAACCCTGATTGGGAGAAGTCACATTGGTTTTCACCAGATGCTTAAAACAATTGAAAGGGTGAGTTAGGGGAGGCGAGGTCTGTCTGCGCAGGGTGAGACCCGAACACGGAATGACCGCACAATGACAAATGTGACCCAGAAGACTTTAGGGCTGACTCAGCTGTCATAATAGGATTCAGCAGAATAAAACATCAGCTGCAGTCCCTCCAGTATGAGATAAGTACAGCCTGATTTTAATGCAGACACACACAAAGTTCTCTAAGACATAAAGCACAGTTTCCTTTAAATTAATATTGCACACACTACAGCAAAGCAGGCACCTTTCCAATAGAGTGAGTCATTGACACTCATCTTATGAAAGCCATCCATCAATGGAAATCTAATGCCGCAGAATCACGAGGGTGGGAGTATGGCAAGGACAAACAATATCACTCGATTCATTTAGAAGATCTTATATTTTAAGCGAAATGCTAGTCAGTAGAAATAAAAAAATACTTTAAGTACAGCATCAAAATATATTTAAGGTACACATAGTAAAGTAGTCAATATGCCGAAGGGCCCAATTCAGAAAACAATATATTTGATATCACTGTATTTTAACTATTAATGCATCTATCACTGTAATGTTGCAGCTGGCGAAGCTAATTCTAACTACTTTATAAACTGATGGTTATCTTAACCTATAATAATATATCATAATGTATAAGTCATACTTTGCATGAATTATCTTAATCTGCGAGGTAGCTAACTTAAAATATAATTATCAAATATATGAAGTAGAGTACAAGTCCTTCAAAACTGTACGCACAGTGTTGAGTAAAGGTTACTTCCCACGACTGCACAATGGCAATGCTAACGTGCTAATATTAACCAGTATAATGTTTACTATGGCTGTGACAAATGGACTTTTCCTAAAGTAAAAGCAACCTTCAGATTGACCACCTTATAAAGAGAAATCAAAGCACCTTGGTTAAAATGTAATTGAAAGTGTCAGTTTGATGAGCCTTAATTCTGTGGCAGAGTTGTGGACAGTGTCAGTCTTCTTGAACGAAACCTCAGCAATCAAACGGTAATTATCCACACCTTCACCGACCAATGACCTGCCAGAGGATGAATCACTGATGAAAAAAAAGCGAGGCTGAATACAAGGAGAGCAGGTACACAGAGTGGAGTTAGCCTGAGAAAAGTCGCCAACATATGCAGCACTGCCATGCTGTATTCATGAGCCCAAGATTGTTGAAGGTCGTTGCTGGCAGTGCTGGTGCCAAAAGAAACGCAGCTCCTTAAGAGCTGTTGAGACAGGTGGCAGGATAATAAAACTGGGATTTTGAAATTACTTTCTCCTCTGTACTGTTCGGCTCTGAGCTTACCATCCATTTTAATGGTGTTGCTTTTTGACTGCTGGCGCTGAGAGAATAAAAGGTTTGAGACTCCTGGTTATTTTAAGGAAAGTGCAACTTTCTGGGTACCCTGTGATGAATCATATGCCACAGTGTTCCTCTTCTTAGGAAAGTAGAGGCTATAGTACTGTACAGACACATTTGAGAGTTTTTTCAGTCAGTTTCAGATTAAAAAGTTAACTTTGTGACAACGAGGATGAATTGTCACTTGATATCTTTTATTTAAATTAATAAGAATAAATGATGGATTAGAATTACCATAGGTAGAGTTTACAACTTTCTTCTTTAACAGTTCAAATACTTCACTGTTTTACCAGCCCAATACTTGCTGACTTTTCCTAATTTTATGAAGATAATCAATTTTTTAGCTTGATTTTGTACTGATGACATGTTTTAAAGGTCAGCTAAGTAAAAGTGAATTACATTTGAGTATGTTTCCACCTTCAACAAATATGCAGTTAATGTAAAAGAGAGGGGTTTAATCCTCATCTAAATATTGGGTTTCAATAAGGCCAGAATAAATCTGTAAAATTTAAATAATAATTACTATATTGCGATAAAAAATTATCTTCCATTGATATTATTTTCACATTTACGTATAGCAGTGGGGTCTTTGGTAACCCAATAAATGATTAAAGGTAGGGTAGGTAAGTTTGAAAAACCGGCTCGAGATCGCTAGAATTTGAAAATACACGACCGGAGAAAATCTGCCACTTCCTTATAGAGCCCCTCCTCCAACACACACGAACGCGCACATGACCAATGAGGGCACGAGATAAGTTTGTGCACAGATGGAAGGCTGACAGGCAGGTAGGCCATCCAGTTATTTTAGCCGGGCCGGCTAAAATGATTGGTCGTACTTTTTACAGTACTACGGCTTCCACAGATGACATTTTTTTATGGATTTTTTGTCAAAGCACTTATTCATTGCTATCGGGATGTTAAGAGCATTCCATGGAATATAACAAAAAGTGTATCTCGAGCCAGTTTCTCAAAATTACATACCCTACCTTTAAGGTCAATAACTTCCTGTCTTTGCCAAACTGTCACTGCTACAGTAATTACTTAATGGCATTCCACTTAACTTTTTGAAAATAAAAAATGACCATGGAATGAATTTGCATTTAAGAACTCTGTAATGCAAAAGCACTCAGTACTTTTCTAAAAGCTTCCAGCCTCCAGTGCACTTTTGAGGATCAGTAACAGCACACTATGCCTCATGTTACTAAAAATAAAGCCATATCCCCCAGTTTACAGGGTCACTGATGACTAAGCGTTGCAAACCCTCGTAGCATAGCAATTTATCTCTCCTTGAGCTACTTGTAATCATATGAAAGGAAATGGCAGCGGTATTGTGTTGACTCATCACCTGCACACCTGCGCATTCAAACCACGTTCGGTTTTCACAGCTTTACACAGCGATTGCTTCCTGATTATTCTCTTCATTTTGAGTGACACATCTTCATCCCCATCCATCATCTTCATGCCTACAAATGGAAATGCTTCATAGTTAGTTTTTATTCCTAGCGAGTATTAGCTCTGCAAATAGTGAGTCACTAATGTCCAAGAAAGCAGATATTACTGCGTTCTGACCAACTAATAGGAAGGTAATGTGCTGTGACACTGCAGGCAGAGGCTGTCAAAACAGTGGGCCCTGCTCCACGGCTGGCCAATTGTTCTGAAGGGTGCTGGACTGGATCAGTGCATCACAGCAGCACCGAGGCTCACACCAAACGCACTGCCCAGAACACACTCGCAGCAAACAGTGCGCTGCCAACACCGGCCTATAGAGACCCTGGATGAGGACTAACCTGGTGCAGATAAGACTACAATAACATCTCTCTGGTGGTGATCAGGTATAATCGTAAATCTAAACAAGCAAAAAAGCATTAGATACTATCAAGGGATTGCATGAAAGAGGGAATAAAATGTACTGCAGGGCCCAAAGTATCTTAGGTATACTTTTAATGGGGCCAGTTGAAAGTAACTTCAAACGCTGCATTAACAGAAGCAGGGATGCTTCAACTAAAAACAAACAACTGATTTATTTGCTCGGTGAGTCAGTCAAACATGACAGATGTTCGAAAGGTGGATGCTCATTTAGACATATTAGACTATTAGAATAGAGAGAGTACACTAAGAAAGCTCTTAATGGCTGACGGTATTCATGGTGCCGCTCTGACTGTTTTATTTACGTTACAGCAATATCGAGCTGAGCTGAATGTGCGTGACAAGCAGGGCATCTACCAGTACACTCTGTGGTGCTTTCAAGCACTCAGGGAAAAGATAATGTCTAATCTGCTTCCACAGTATCTCGCAGCGGCAGATCAGACCATCATCTAATATCACACGAACTGTCTGGGTCATTCGCAGTGTCTGTGAACGGCAACAAAAACTCAGAGAAAGGCATGACATCTTTTTTATCTTTCCGCACTAAAGCATGAATCCACATCTGCCTTGCTGTTTCCAGACATGCACCAGTTGCTCAGCATCATGGACTCACATAGGAGCGCCGAGACTCTTCGCTAGAGCTCTGACAGCGCTCGCTGTGATCAACACTTTGTCTAATAGCACCGTGGTGGTGGCCAGCCTGCGTGTGACAAGCAGACAAGCGCGACCTCTCTATCCTCGCCTGACAATCAGACACTAGCGGCCCGACACCAGGAGTCTGGCAGCTGACGTACACAAACACACACTTGCACATATATTTGTACTCAGGTGCACTGAGGAAAATGGGGAACAAAAAGAGGAGAATGAGAGCCCTACATCCCTCCTCTGTGTCCTTCACTTCATCTCCAAACCCTGAAATGACACAGAAGACGTCTCCTCTCCCCAACTGCTGCTCACCCTTTCAGATACTCCTCCCTTAATGTTCACCAGAACTGTAATCATCATCAAAACTGTCGTTATCATTATTATTGTTATAACATTTTCAAAAAGTGCAGATAGAACTTCCCTGTGCCCTCGTTCTGAAGGCTGGGCAGTAAAGTAGGATGGGGGAAACAATGGCAGTAAGAAGAGCAAGAAGAGCGCAAGATGAGAAAGAGAAAAGAGAAGAAGATTTCTGCCAAGTCTGAGTCGTGTTGCTCCTGTGAACAAACACACACATACACATAGCAAGAGGCACACATGAACCCAGCACACCTTCAGTCGTGGAGATAGACCTCCATCAGCACATGACCACAAAACAGGACAAAGATCATAGCGTCAATAAACAGACGGAAGTGTGCACGAAACCAAATGCATGTGCACAAACGTGTTGCTTCTGTTTTCATCTTAAAATTGGAAGAAGATTTTAAATAGGTTTCCTCAGGCGGTGATGCTGTGAAAAATGACATCATGGTATCATGTGGGATTTCTTTTTGTTTGGGTCTTTTTCGTCTTCTTTTTTCTCTCTCCGTCTCAGGGCTTTTTGTCTGGAAAAATCAGGAGCGATCCATTTCACAAGTTTATTGTGTTCCTGCTTTCCCAGTTTTGGAAAGTCCAGTTTTTTTTTTTTTCTTTTTAATCTCTATTTTTGTTGGAGCTACAGCACAGCACCCACAGCACACAGACGACAAGGAGGGGTGGGGGTCCAGAAAGGCTGGATACACTAATATTGTGCCAGAGGAAGAGAAAGAGGAAACCATAAGGATAAAAAGAGATGAAGGAGAGCATAGAGGGGGGAAAAAGAGGGAGAGAAGAGAAAGCAGTATCAACAATTTCATCCCGAGTTTAGCAGGTTTCATCACAAACCGAGTATTGATTGCTTTCCACGACTTCAGCTGAACATTAAACCACTTTTGAGTAAAAGGAGTGAGGCTGAAATGGACAGGATATAGTACAATTGAGACAGATGACAAGGCGTCAAATGATGAGAAAAGAGGGATGGGAAACAACAGACAGGCTATGGATAGCATACGTTACATTAATCATGGGTATAGGGGGAGTTCTGCCAATCTATTCCTAATATATTAATATGTACATGTACATAATGTACATACTGTATAGTATTGTTTACCTGGAATAGTCATACAATAGGATTATATGAGATTAGATCGTTACTTAAGATTCTCTGTGATCCCACGGGACTGGCACCTTAAATGGGTCGAGGGTTGCAGTGCAGTTCAGAACCAAGGGGTCGACAAAGAAACTGAATATCGGACCTCCACAGGCAAAGTGCATAAGGACAGACAGACATACAGACAGTCAGAAACAGGGGGACCATTGGCGAAGTCGTGAGACACAGAAACTAAGACACAGCTGTATGAAGAGGAGGGAATATAAGAAGTTAGAAGAGTGGGAGAGGAATAGAGATTTTGAAAGAAAAAGAGTTTAAAGGTTTAAGAGAGCAGATGGCTAATTGTACCCGTGTTTCGCAGCCTGGCAGCAAGTCAGTCTTGTGCATAAGGACAGGTGGGAGGAGGGGGGGGGGGGGGGGGGGGGGGGAGGGGGAGTGGGAGACGGAGAGGGGCCGTGGACGAAGCTGGGCGGTGCGATCAGGACTTGAGAGCGTGCCACTGGGCGACGTTAGTACGCGGCCGAGCGAGCATGTCTTTCCAGTGCTTCACCTCCCCGGGTCCACTCTTCCACGATAGGTAGATCTGAGAGAGGGGAAGGATGATGAAGTAAACTTAGGAATATAAAACTTTTCAGATATGGAGTGCATATTAAATATGGGAACATTAACATTTTAGTGCACATTACTCCTGAAACAAAATACCAGACCAGATTCAAATCAATTAGCTGGATATCTTATTTGATCTTAAACCTCTTATTGTAACAGTTTTGCATAACTTTATTTTATTTTATTTTATCTACAAAATATTCTTGCCCAATCAGAACGTTTTAGTTGTTATTATCTTTACAATGGTTTTGCCCAATCATAATTATGTATAGGTTTTCGCTTTGTTTATCCCTGTTCTTTGTTTTTGTAATTGACAATTGTCATTGCATTTGGAAATTGCCCCTCAATGATACCTTGAATATAAAAAAAGGTTAAATTAATAAACATCTCTTTATTTTTAGGTAATGGCATTTTGTCATTTAGACCCTCAGTCAGACACGGCAGCACCTTAACGGAAAGAGACACAATGTTTGTGCGATATTTGGCATCAGGTATTTCAGAGGGACAAGTGCTGCGAGCAGGGATGAGTTGAAATGAAAGAAGGAGCGTGGAGTTGTCTCAAGCTGCCTCACATTATGGATTTTGAAACATATTTTAGCCATTGAAACCTTACATCAATCAATCCTTTTTTGTTGTTGCTGTAAGGCCCTGGAGTCTCCACTGGTTGCCTGGCAACTGCTAGAGCAAGTCCCTCTGCTTTCAGTCTTTATGCTAAGCTAACCCGAGTCTCCTGGCTGTAGCTTTAAAACATAATTGCAAGACATAAGAGTGTCTCCCAGAAAGCTAATATGTGTGTTTCCTGATGTCAAATAATTACTTTAAAATAGAGAAAGGGTTAGTCCGATGACAAAATTAAAACAGTACATTTTGCTAACACGTAAATGTTGTTGTGTAGACCTATAGGTCCAGATTTTAAAACTTTGCTCCAGGAATATTTCTATTCATTGGTCACTTTGGTCAACGCTGGTGAAAAATGTATGTGAGTATAAATAATTCAATTATTAATTACTGGACTGTTAACCTCATCACAAATTGACTGACCTCAGTGGCGACTGCTTACTTTTATAGACATGAGACCAACATTTGGCATCACATTTATGTAATAGGAGGGCACTCTGCCAAGGCCATGCCCTATCATACTGAGAGTGAAAAATAATTTGTGTATCCCTCGTGATTGGGATCCTCTCCAAAATGTAATGGGTTCTTTCTTGGCCCATGCTACAGCCTTACATGAAACACAGAGCGTTTCCTTAATTCCTGCAGAACAACAGACAAATACACAAACAAAACAGAAAACACAAACTCCTTGGAGTTTAAAAGGAGCTGAAGGAGCATATGCGTAACAGAAGGCAACAACACAAAGAGTAATGTGAAGCGTTACCTTTCCGATAACGTCGTTGCGGCTGAGTCTGTCCTTGTCCATGACGGTGATGATGATGGTGGTCTCCCTCAGTACGTGGGCGGCCACTTCAAAGGGGAAGGACTCGTTGAAGATGGGGTTCAGACAGCGCTTCATGGTCACCGTCTTCTTCTTCTCTACACGCTTGTCCTTGTGCATCAGCCACACCTTGACGTATGGATCTGCAATGTAGAGGCAGAGCTGTTTACATGATAGCAGGGGCGAAAATGTCCATAAAAGGTGCATTTTAGTGTCAGGTTTGCAATTAACCTCTTAATTGTTAAAGTCATGGAAGACAGCAGGGAAGCAGATAGCTAGTTTGAGCTCAAGGTCAACTTCTCCCCTGAGCTAGGAAACATACAAATGAGGAAGTATTTATGGAAATAGGGCCTGGGATTTGTACTAGGATTCTGGAGCATTATCATATTCTGTAATACTAACAGACACTACTGCAGGAAGCAGTCATTTTACAAAGAAATATGCCACAGAAAGCACAGGGAGACTTGATACTTTAAGAACTACAACCAGACTGAGCTGACACAGATTTGGCTTGGAGGCTGAAGATCCTCTTAGATATACAGAAAGAGAGCGAGAGCAGGAAAGATAGAGGGCAAGGGAGAGATGCTTGATTTAATGTCACCTTGCTGCCGCAGCTATCTACGGTTCAACTCGGCTTAGGAGCCAGACGGCAACCGTCTCCAGCACGGACAGGTCAGCAAATGTTTGAACACAGAGATGGAGCTTCCAATGTCATGACAAGGGCTTCAGACGGGTGAGCAAGGGTGAGAAAGAGAAAAGAGAAAACAAACATACCTGAGGTGCCCCCGATATCCATGGCTTTGAGATTGCGCGCTTTGATGATGTTCACAGTGATGATGTTGGCAGTGGGATTATAGCAGAGAGACAAAAGCAGATCTCCCCGTCTCCCCTGAGGAACACAAACAATTGCGTATGAATCACCCAGTCTAATATCAGATTTCATCAGGGAAAATCAAACTCCAGATTACTCACTAGCTGTAATCTTACATCACTGCTCTAACCCTTCATGCCAAACACAGATGGTCCAGTGACCAGGCGGGCTTAGCTGAGCCTGTTGCTCAACCTGACATAACGTCAACTGAGCTCTCAAGCTGAGAGCAGTCGACAAATGACATCACACTTTAAATTAAACCTGCAATGAATGAAAACACTGGATTCTTCATCATTTGGGCCTGATGGCCACCCCCCCCCTCTCTTACACTGCCATCACTGCAGGGCTTCAGCTCCTTCCAGAAGGTCTTTATCTGGCCCAGCTCCACCTTGTTGAGGGGGATTGACACCTCTCCGATGGGGTCATTCCTGCTGAAGCGGTCATGGTCCATCACCTGGAGGTACAGAGTTCGCTCTCTCACTTTCTCGTAAGGGAAGCCTAAAACAGAGAAAGAAACAGGGGGAGAGCTAAGTTGCAGAGTGTGAAATAAATATTCTTGACAGTACAGAGAGGGTAATCTGCACTGTGCGAACGGGGAGGAATTTGGCAAAGGCCAAAGTGGATTTTGAAAACTGCAAGACCAGCCAGCGCTCTCTCAAAAGACTGAGAGGGATCATTATACTCGAGTAACAAGAACTATTTCATTCATGTTTCAACAGCACTGGCTTCTGTTCTCATGTTGGAGCCTTTTGAACATCATTCTGGCTATTTTACCATTGGGCATTGTCATCCAGGCAGGATGGTTCAAATGAAACAACTTCAGATCATACAGATACTCGTGTGTCTGCTTTTTTCCTCTGCAGTTGCTATGCTCAAAAATATTGCTTTTTTTTTTATAAATGAACGAAAGAAAAAAAAAAGAAATCACACCTTGTTTGTGAATTCTCACACATCTCCCACAGTGCTCCTTGTGGGTTCAGAAATGACTCTTTGTTCATTAAAATGTAATGAAACAATGAAGCAAACTTAAGGTTGTCAGTGAGTTCAGAATGGAGTTCCGCAACACTTTGTAATATAAACAATATGATGAGTTTTATTCATGTGAGTCTATCCTAAAGGACAGGATCGATAACACACTCATATTCTTTCATTAATTAAAGATAATATACAGCCAGAGGTTTAGCTACATTAAAACTGTATGCAGGGGGAAACAGTCAGTTGGCCCACAAATGTTTACACATTCATCTTTTAACAGATTAAAGAACATTAATCAGAGAGCATTGACTGATGTTTAGCACGTTGTTGTGGTTTTTGAAGGGTTGTTCACAAGTGTAATAAATGTTAATAGCACATTTGGAGAAAAAACAAAACAATTGCAGCATTTCTTCTATAAGTAACTGAATGGAAACAACACAGACCCTCAAACAAGAAGGTTTCGTTCCAGTTCGGGTTGAGGTTCTTCCTTTTGACCTTGGTCTCCAGCTTGTGCTTTTTGTCGGGCAGCAGGTAGATTTTGACGAAGGGATCGGAGGTGCCGGAGAAGTCCTTTGCGGGGAGCTCCTGGCCCCGGAGAACTTTGACGGTGAGGGTCGTGTTCTGGAAACTGTAGCCTATGCTGAACTGGATCCGGCCCAGCTTCTCACTGATGGGCCCTTCACCATCATCATCCTCTGAACCTGGAGACAGCTGCGGGGCCACAAATGTAGGCAAATAAATATCAAACACATGCAGCAGCAACAGCAGCCACTCACAGGAGAAGTTCAGACCAAGGGCACACACACCTCCTCCCACACAGACCGTGACAGAGAGACATACTCAAGCAGCTGCTCTAAGGCAGAGATTGGTCTGACATTAAGAAGACTGAGAGAGTTTCATTTCCTTTCTAATGTTCTTAAGAGGCAGGAGGTGCTCAGATTGTAGATAGGCGAGCTTTAGACCACCCATTCTCCCTTACAGCCACTCTGACTGCTTTATCACTGCTGTGCACTAAAAGGCCACTATCTGATAGACAGCAGCGGACAGAGAGGGGAAAGAGAGAGCGAGAGACAAACAGAAAGAGTGGGAAGGAGAGAGAGAGAGAGCGTTTCATGAGCGGCACAGAGTGAACGAAAGCACAGCTCAAGGCTGGTGGTCTGCACTCACAGCTGTAGGCTTTGTGGTCACCTCTTTTCTATCCCTGCCTCCTCCTTCTGTCTCTCCTCTTCTTTCTATGCAACAATAGCATTGATTCGAAAGAAGCCTTAGAGGACTTTGAGCGAGATAATACAATCAGTAGCTCACTTTGTGCAAGTTCCTCCTTTGATACTTTGGAAAATATCATCTTGGTTGTCTGGTCACCTCAATCGGAGCATCAACTGCAATAGTTGCTCTCAGTGTTTTAGGTCAGAGCTTTCATTTCAAAGAGGAAAAGACTCAGTCACTCAGCTTCTGACAATATGGGTTTTAGAAGTGACAGGCAGCGCAAGTGTGAATTATTCCAAGTCTAATTGATCAAACAGTGCGAGTCACCTTGGATGGCTTGTCTCACTTGATTGCCGCTGTAAGAACTGTCTGTGTTTCTTTTCTGTTCCATTATGGCTCTCTTATTATTACATGCAGCTTTAAATCAACCTGCGTGGCTCTAGCATGGAGGATGACTTGTAGTAGGCTACCAAAAATATGTGAATAGTTGCAAAAATCACACACATGAGTTTACTAAATGTAACTTTAAAACTTCGGGCATCAGTACGTTTCCTCCACTCTTATGGTTTCTGGTTCGGGAGAGAAACTCCCTATGGAGGGAACTTTGGGATTTTATCTCTTTCCGACCATTTAATTGCACAAACTATATAACACACTACAGGAAAGGGAAAATATCTAAAAGGGCCTCTTTAAAGCTGTTTTCTGCATTGATTGACATACACAAGCATTACAAATAGGATGTACAGTTGTTTTTATGGAAATGAGACATCAAAAATTGGCCTTTTTCACTTTAATATGTTTAAACATTTATTTATTTTTATAGAAAACTGCTGGAGTGCTCCTTTAAGGTTTCCTTTCACAAATTAGTCTGGCAAATTTCAAAATGTCCCCTACTGTCAACACATCGTATGAAAAGTGAAGAACTACAAATTGATCCTTCTTACAGTTGTGTTTGTAGCTAAATAAGTCATATATATAGTAAGTGATTTCAGGGTGGATAGCATCCTACTTGTAAGACAAATTACCAAAAGTGATGTCCCCTGTTATCCAGCCCCAACCCCCTCCAACCCCAACAGAGAGAGTGCAGGGGCAGAGGGGATGTTTATTTAAATGTGTCCAGTCGGCCTGAAACATTGATCATTTATCTGACTAACGTCTGTGCAGCTCAGAATCTATTGCCCTGATCATGTCTCTGAAATATCAGTAGCATAACTGTGCTCTGTATTGATAAATCCATGGCGCTGCTTGTGGTGCTTTAGTAGCAGTAGACAGATTTGTAATTACAATCAGGGAATTACAAAACGCCTACTGCTTAAATTGCTTATTCCTCTGTGCTATACTGTAATCTAAAATCTATTAAATCACGTAAATGAGCCACAATGTTGCACTGGGTGGCATGATCCTCCAATAGATCATTGGGCAGCTGTTTTAGGAACATTACAGTGTAGAAGTTACATACAGTTTATAGCTTGTCTGCTATTTTATGCTTTTATGCTATAGTTATTTTCACCCCGTTAAAAAGCTCTGCATTACGACGGTCTCTTTAACCCCACTTTGCCAAAAAGTACTGTTCTCCAGCTGTTGGTGGATGTACCCAGATGGGGGGAAATATATTATAATAAGCCTGCATGTGACATGGTAAGGGGAGCCAAATCTGAATTGTTGAATCCCATATTTTCTTATCTAGGCAGCCCACAAAAAACTGGCTGGGCTTATTTGACAGTTTGTAGGTTTGGCGAGCAGTCCAGATAGAAACATACAAAAAAAAGGGTTTTCACAATAGGTACCCTTTGAAGGCTTAGCTATTCAGTATATGTAGGTACCAATGTGTATAGCTTGGTGTCACAGATAGAAGCAGAAAAGATGTCATGTATAGGTGTGGTGGGAGGGTCTTACCATCACCATATCTCCAGTGAGTGAGTTGGCCAGGTCAGTCACGGACTGGCCGTCGGGGGGTCGGCCCTTGGGGCTGTTAACTGGCTTGTTGCCCCTGAAAGCAAAAACATTGGTTGATCCAGAGGAAACAAAGCAAGGACTCGTCTCTGGAAAGAGAGAATGTCTGAGCACACAGGGAGTCCAACCTCCACCTGTTTGGCGCTTGAAAAACGCCTATCTGAAACGACCAATTGAGTCCAAGTTTGCTTTGGATGGATGTCACTTCAAAGTAGATTGTGCTTTCTCTAGCTACCATGAGCGAAGCCAAATAAATCTGCCAAAGATTCCACAGATTAATGGCGGGCACTGCAACTGAGGACATTTGATGCAGTGAATTGTGTTTGATGAAACTTGGAATCTGAGATGACTGTACATATGTCCAGTGTGGCAAACATCCATATCTCTAACAAAAAAGTTACCTCCGACAAGTAAACAAACACAGTTTCAGACAGAAAACAAAACCACTTAATTTAATAAATATATTCTCCAATTCCCATAGACTTTATAATCAACCCTTATTCCCTCTACAGATATTAAGGAGACACACATGTATAAAGACATTTATAGCAACGTCACTTTATGTACAAAAGACAGACATGTATAGCAACGCGTAGAGGATCAGACGTTTCACGGGACAGATGAAGTAGTGTTGATGTGTTTATATCTCAATTATTAAGAATATGCAACAAAACAAAAAATATTAAAAAAACTTAAGAGAAAGCAGAGATCTCCCATGGCAAAGCTGGTACTTAGTAAAAAGTTAATAGATGTTAAGTTTAGTTTCCTCACACGAGGATTGTTGAAAAACATAACGTTAAAGTGGGACAAACAGTGTGGGAGAAAAACCTCAAGGTACATACATCATGAAAACAATCACAAAGTGTAAAGAAAGTAAAAGAGAATAAATATTATGAGATTAAAAGAATGAAAGAAAGGTAGAACAAGAAAGAGCCAAATGCGAAAGTCTTGGCCAATGTAATGTGACACATTGGACACACAGCACTCCATAGATGACTGGTCAGGGCACATGGAGAGGCTGAACATCGAAACACTGTTAGGCAATAAACGAACAGTAAATAGAGAAGAAATACAAGAAGAGACACACACATATCGAAATGAGAAGACTCAAAGAGGTTGCAGACACACACAATAGTAGACAGAAATCATAAAGACTTTAGATAAGACAGATGCTCAATAAGAAATGTAAGAAAAAAGCAAGCGGAAAATTATGAATCTGTATCAGAAGAGATAGAAAGCATTAATAGCATGAACAGTGAGGTTACGGAAACCAAAACCAAACAGATCGTTACAAACACCAGCACATTAGAGAGAGCTGCAAGAAAAGATAGGAAATGAAGGAAGGAAAGCCTGGAAACACAAGAAAGGCTTAGTTTGGTCAGTCTGATAAGTATCAAAGAATAAGAGACGGAAATAAAGAGCTATTCACACACAATACATCTAACAGAGGCAAAGGGGTGGACATGCTAAAGGGAGAAAAGAGCACAGAGAAGAAATGATCACCAGTTCAAGAGAGCAAGAAACATACATTTTAATGTGGAGAACTCAAAATAAACACAAGATGAGATATAGTATGATAGAAAGATAAGGATAAACAGTACAAAAATATAATATCATTGAAAACACAGAAACGGACAAATAGTAAGAACATAGGAGATGCACATTTAGAGTGTCACAAAAGAGGGTGTTGATAGAAATAAAGTAATGCTACAAATTATAGAAGTTAACTTGACTTCTAACCTGATTTTCCAACCATTAAGCAACACTCTAAAAGTTTGGACTGGGAACACAGGGGCCAAAGCACAAACTGGCATTGGCTACATGTGCATATATATTATATGCAAGTAGTTGTCACTCCGAGAGTGAAAGCAATGCCTTGGACAGGCCGAAAACAAGGAGCGCATAGAAAGTCTGTCCGTCTGGCCAGCAATCTGCCGAGCGTCTCACTGAGAGAATGTACTTTTTTTGTTGGGCTGCGAATTGGGATGACAATTGATGTTGAATGTAATAATGTGTACATTTTTGCTGAAGACAAGGACAGAACTGGGGGGAAATACAGTATACTGACAAATAGACAGACAGAAAGAGCAAGCAAACAAGACAAGCAAACAGACAATCACTGCAACCAGCAAAGGAACCAGAGCGAGACGGGGGGGAAGGAGGGATGTTAACCGTTTCAGGAAGGGAAGGGAATATTCATCAATTGGTGTTAGTTGTATTAGTTGCCAAGGGAGGTAATTACATTTTCAGGGGGCTTGTTAATCCCTTGCACAGACTCTAAACTGCAGGCGAGGAAGAGAGGCGAGGAAGAGGCTAGGTATAACACTAAACCAAGATCTGAGGATCAGCTCGAAAGAGCTCTAAAGCACGGAGAGAGACTTTGGGATTGAAGTAAAGCAAGGCACCTCCCTCCTCCTCCACATCCCCACTATCGATGGGGTAGTGAACGTCTTCAATTATTCATTCTCTTTCATGCTTCATTCAGGGGTTCAGTGCATTCTCAGGTAAGATCTAGTGCAGCCGAGGGATGGCCTTCCTACCAGACCTGCTCCACAGCACCTGAGCGTCCTCCAGGCTGTTTAGACAAAGCGGCTGGAGCTGCAGATTTGTTGCAGAAAATAAAATACTTCCTCCAGATCATACAGAAGATCATGAATTGGATAAACGAGGACTGGTTTCAGAAAAAGCTAAATTAATTGTGGCAGATGGAGATACTACAACTGCTACATTTCAGTGCCAATGCTTTTTCAGTCCGACCCTTAGGGGGGTTGATATGGAAATTGACGCTCTAAAGCCTGCAGTTGTCTACAGTATCCAGTGGGAGGCAGAGTGGACTCGAGTTCAGATTCTCCATCAGCTAAGGCACAGAAAGTGGGCTGTTGGCATAGCAACGGCTCTAGAAACACAGACCATACATTTGGGGGTTTGGGGTGTGTGTGTGACAAGAGGTTGTTGGGCGTTGGGGAAGGGTGTGTTTGGAGGGGTGCAGCAAACAGGCGAACACACAGAGAACATTAAGGTTTAGGATATATGACAGGTACGGGTGAGAACCTCGCAGACACACACATGGACAGACACATGGAGGCAGGCGGGGCCACTTTGGGTTTCACCGTCCTGTGATACTATCCTTTTTTTGTTACCTGACCGAGGGCCAGCAGCTCGTAGAGAGGGGGAGGGGGGGAAAGACACTCCACTTCTAGGCTGGAGAGAGACGCGAGAAAGAAAGCCCAACCCAGACCCTCTTTTTTTTTTCACCCCTCAAACATGTCACACCCAAACAAACACGCTCGCCTGAAACCATGAAGTAATGTATTTTCAATGTCTAAGATGCCCACTAGATCTATCATTCTTCAGGGGCCACAACATACTTCCCAGGATCATACACAGTCAAAACCACAGCAGTGAAGCAGAGCGCTGCTTACATAATCCACATGAAACGCATGTACATTCACACTGGAGTCATTCCTGCTGCTTCACTTCTCAGCCTGCGACCAACAATTCTGCTGCGACATATAAATATGGATGCTTTCACTGTTAACTAATTAATTCCTGCACGTTGGAACTGGAAATGAGTCTAAAATAGCATCGCTTACTGAAATCCCACTTCACCCAGCAGCAACAAGGGAGGTGCTAAATGCTGCCTTCTGTGTTTCTGCTCCTTCAAATGGAAATAGAAAAACCACAAGACAATTCAGTGGGTGCCAAACGTTGATCTTTATAAGCGCCGTTATAAGTCTGTTTTCATTTTATTAGAGGCGGTATTTCAGATGCAATGCTTTTGACTTCGGTAGCCGGCAATTGCCCTTTTCACTTTGAAACAGTCCAGCATTGCAAACATGATTACTTTTTAATCCAAAAATGAGCTTAGTGTCTACTCTATCTATACTGTGACAGTTGAGCCCCGACTCTCTTTATGGTCTCCCTATAAGCTCTGCAGTTAAGCATTCAAGATGTCTCAGAACTAAATTAAAACAAATAACCCAATCGCACCAGGGAGTTTCACAACATGAAATCATCAAAACATTTCTTTTTAAAGCCCATTAAAATAAACAAATCCAAATCAAAGTGTTTTGAATACCGATTAGATCCTCAGATTGCCTGTGATGTGGAGGCTGCTGCTGATGTGCCACCTGTTATGAGGCAGGACACGAGGGTCCCGGGTTAATGCTCCAAATAGTTCCCCCTACTCAACCACAATCCATCTATCTGTATGTATGAGATGAGCCTGTGTACCAGCATGTAGTGGCTGCTGGCTAGAGTGCTGCCTTCAGCCCCGCATTACGCATGGATGTGCAAAGTACAATAAGTACTCCTTCGTCCTACTACTCTCTTGGATGGTAGATGGATCTGCTGCCTGAATATTCCCTCATCCTGCCCCGACATACGGACTGATGGATGTTCAAATGCACTGACCTCCGCCTCTTTGTGACTCTTTTTTTCCGCCTTAGTGCCATCTACTTTCCCCTTCTCTAAGCACATAAGCAAATGCATCAACATTCCCAGTGTGATGCTAGAATGAGCGGGGTGGCCGCGGGGGGCCGGAGCCTCAGGGACCGTCTTAAGCAGAGCCCCCTGAAGACTCTGCTGATTAGCCGGGCCGCAAAGCCCCTTTCACAGGAGGGGCAGACTAACAGAGCATAGCATAATCAATTTACATGTTTATGTACGAACAGATTATATCATCTGGAAGCATTGTAACAGTAGTTTGTTTTCTATTATCTGAGAAAACAAAGCTTGAAATTAGCACTTTACACTATAACACTGTGACCTCAGAATGACCTAACACTTCACTAGCTTAAAGACATATCAACTCCTCCTACTCAGACTAATGCGGTTAGAGCACAAACACATTCAAGACGTTAAATAAACACATTTATATTGATTTATTTAGGTTAAAGGTCACAACCGCCATACGTTATGTTCAACTTTGCCTTTCATGTCAAGATAAGCAACTTAATAAGCTCATAAATTATGAAGCAATATAATATAGCTCACTTGTCTTTGAGTCCGTGATATATATTTATCGATATCTACAAGATGTATACTGGAGCAGGAAGAAAACTCCATTGGCTTACACAAAATGATGTAACATGCATGGATGAATAATTGAAAGACCACAGGCAAGTGGATTGAATGTTAATGTGGCACGAAGATATGTCCCGCCTCCTCTGTCCTGAACCTCCATCCTCATTGGACCGTTGGCTGTCTGCTCAGAGAGAGATCTAGATTCAAAGCTCTCAGGGATTGTGGCTTGTCTTTATAGTAACACAGGAGGAGAATCTACAGTATAGGTTCACTGAATCGCAACAGAATTGTATGAGTGAAGACCAATGAGGCATCACGGAGGCACTCGAACATCCTGATACGCTTTCTACGACGCACAACCTATGGATGATGCCTGGGATATAAACATCTCAGCATGTGTGGCCCCAGGATCAAAGCAACAATCTTTTGTAATCTAACCTCTGCTATTTTATCATGCGACCTTCACTTCGTCAATCTCCCTTGTAAATGTGAAGCATGGTTTGAAAGTCTCAATCACTACCACTGACGCTAAGGTTGAAACTGTAAGTCAGCTCCTGCCTCACTTCATAAACAAAAGACCACGCAGAACACTTTCATCCAGCCAGCGCACACACAAGGTCAGTGAAGGAGCATCATGAGTATCACGCACTATAGCACCTTCTCATGGCCAGTGGGGAGAACAGTATGTTTGATTGGCTTGCCTTCAACTATGACCATGCAACAGTGGAGCATTAACACATGGCTGAAGGGCAAAAGAAAGCCCCCCCTGTTGCTATTTGTGCCTGAAGGACTTCTCATACATGATCCTATTAACCAGATTGTTTGGCCAACTGTTGTTAAAGGCCAAGAGCAAAACTGTTTGAGTGGTGGAGAAAGCATATTCGTTAAAAGTCCAGCGTTTAAACTCCTACTTAACTTAAAATATAAAAGTATTATCAGCATAATATACATAAAGTATCAAATATCAGTAATCATTCTGCAGAAAACTAATTTATTATATTTGACAATTTTAGATTGCAATTACTGATGCATCAATATGTAAACATCAATTTACTGTTGAAGTCTGGTGTTTACAATATTTACTGTTATTATGTTTTATAAAATACACAAAGTTCTGTTAAAATGCAATTAAATACAGTTTTTGGGTGAAAAGGTTGGAAATCACTGGTTTAATTTTGAACTATGCATTATATTTTAAGGTAACCCATGTTTATTATGTGAAATCTAAATCTGTTCTGTAACTTGACTTTATCTGTTAAGTAAATGTAGTTGAAGTTGTAACTTTCCCTAATGTAGGGCATCACAGAGCAGCTCTTTGATGTTCACGAGCAGTGGAGAGATGTCCCTTTTATGTCAGAATTGATGATGCTAACGTTTGAGAGTCACATCAACTATTCACATTAACTTCAGAGGCTTTTTGTTTGACTGAAATAATTAGCAAGGCACATGCTGTGCAGATGATACATTTGGTTGAGGTATTACATGTGTGATGCAGGTATGCAAATGAGTGGCAGGCACATAAAGGACATGTTTGATGTGAATACACAGACTGCGTTGATATGGCTATACACAGGGAGAGAGAGAGGGAGACGAATGAAGGCGTAGCTTTGTCTCCGGCTCGAGAGCCCGGTTTGGAATGAGCAATATGCCAAGAGCATGATTGATTAAATCATGGTCAGACATCTGTGAAGTCAGCACTAACACCACAGGGAATGATATACTCCCAGCAAGCTTACACCTTGCATTTTTAATATACTGTGCACTTATGTTTATTTTATATTTAGTATCCAATTAAAGTGTGCCTAAATCATTTATAATACATTTGAATTTGTAATCAATGATGAAACAAGCACAATAATGAGTGGCTCCGGTGGAATTAGTTTACTTCTCAGGAGAAGTTACTAAAGGGCCGAGACATTTGAAGCTTTCATTATATGCTAATCTTTTTTTTTTTTTACATCCGAGTTCTTCATTGTTCACAGAGTGTAAGCTGCCAGTCATTCTGTTTTTACTGAAAGAAATTAAATGAACCTCAGGTTAATCTACAAAATGCCACAATGCACTCAATCACCGTTAAATGGAGGCGAGTCCTGCGGGGCCACCGGCTGGACTGAGCGGTTCCCTCCTTCCGTTTAGTCTATTAGTGGATTTCACAAGCCATTGAAGGAGGTTTCCAGGTAAACACAAACTCGGAAAGACAGATGTAATGTGCACAGCAAATTACACAGAAAATTGTACACCTTTGTGGCTCGGTAGGTTTCACACTAATCCATAGCAATAGAGATAGTTTTGATGTTTTACAAAAGGCGACATTGTTGCTGAAAGAATATTTGAATGCTTGTTTGCAACTCCATGCCGTGTTGACTCTCAGAAAAGGCCACAGAAAGCTTCAGGGCAGGAGACAACAATGAGGCAGGCAAACCAAGAGCCAAATATATTTCACAAGTTGTCGTCATAGTGTTACTCTAAAGGCTAACATTTTATCATAAATAAAGGTGCTTATTAGTTCAGGGCAGACCGTTTTTGTTATGTGGAGCTTCATACTGCATCTGTGCAGTCCAGATAAGAAAACAGTTACCATCTGTTTTCTAATAGAGCCCTAGTTTAAAATCATGTGTCAAATTGATGAAACACTTGTGAATGAGGAATAATTGGTGTGTCGAGTAAATCAGAATTTGTTCGCTCTCCCCTGCCATTTTGTTTTAAGGTGTGTGTCATATTATGTATCTCCAAATTGTCTCCAATTTGTCACAGAATCAAAGTGAGGGTTAAAACGGCCTAATTGGACTGCAGAGGAAATCAAGTGTGTCGCATCTGCCTAAGGCTGGACCAAACGTCGGATTTCACTCTGGCTTTGGTGTTACACACTGATGCAAATAATCAAAAACCACCATCCATTGCCGAAAATTGAGCACTAGCAAAAGTGCAGTTAAATGTTTTGTTTCACAGGACACGCCCACTGTACTCATTTGTTAGTCTTAAACTGTTCCACGAAAACATTGTTCCCATTCCTAAAAAGAATGCCTAACTAATTATTTTTGGAGACGGATGCGAGAGTGGTGCATCCTTATAGATGAGTGGAAATATTTTTGGCTTCTAGTGTGTAAGGTGGCTGGCAAGGAAAAGGTTTATTTTTAGCAGCGTGTTTATGTAAGTGACTAACGTGTTGTGGAATAATGAGGAGGCTCTCCGGGCCCCTCGGTGCAGCTACAGAGACGGGACTCTCGGAGCAGCAGAGGGTGATTGTTTGAAGGAAGCTAATGAGCAGGAGGGAAAAAACGAACACAGGAGTAGAAAGGAATTGGATAAAAAAAGCATGAAATACAAAGGAAATACGACAATTACCAATGGGAGGTCTCTGTAAGGCAGGAGTGAAAAGACACACAAATAGAGATGAAATGGTGACGGAGAACGTCATTGCGATTGGGGAGATAATTATCATGGTCAGGAAAAGAAGACCACTGGCATGAGCAAACAATGTTTTATTTGATTCACAGCCTTTTTTTTTTTTATCCCTAAAAGCAGAAAAAAAGGATTGGAGTAGCATTAAGAATCTCACTGCTGTGATTTATGAGCTCATTACTGCTTTACAGCTTACATCCAAATTGCTTTATCTCTTTTCTCATCTCATCATTACAGGATTTTTTTCGTACATTTGGATTCATAGTCAGCTCTTATTTTTATTTCTGTAACAGAGTGTCAATCTCTGGTGCTATTTTAGTAGCAGGGCCGTGGCACAGAGCACTTAAGTGCTGTGACTCACCGAAAACACTACAAAACAAATCTACTCTCCTCTACTTAGATTCTGATATCATCTGCCGTTTTCCCTCGATATCATATCCTTCACGTACTTTCATTTGTACACCATCATTCCCTCACACACACAACAGGCATTCTCATAGTTTATCTGGTACCTCTTCTCAGGAGGGGGCTCCTGATTGGCTGGTGGTTGTGCCTGCGCTGTTTCCTGCAGGTCAGGGATATTGGCAAAGTCATCTTGCTCGGCCACACCAATGGCCAAAGCCAGGACCACCAGCTTCCCTTCACTGGCTCCCCATAAAAAAATACGATAAAGAGATAGAACGAGAGGCCAGAAAAGATGCGAAGGAGAGGGAAATCGGACATAAAGAAGGTTTGGTGCAGGGGGGAGAGAAGAAGAGAGATGTTATTTCAGGTTACAGCAAGAACAAAAAGCAGAGAGGCGGCAGGTAAATAGACCATATGAGAATAAACAGAAGAAGAAGTTACACAGAAACGGTCATAAAGGAAAATCTGCAACACCAGCAGTAAGCATTTTGTCCAGGGAAGGATATTAGTTAGAAACCATAAACTAAAAGGTCAGATTAATAATAACGTAATGGTTTTAATGAAGTGGTGCTGACAACAGGTGCAGGCTGTGTTCACATCGTACACACAACAAATAATTAAAGGGAACTGCTGGTGATTATTTAATGATAGTTAATGGATGTGGTATTCAGCAGCGTGCACGGATGTAAAAGGTATGTATTTACAGACCCACACACCACACTCAGAGTAATGATTCTAGTTACTTAACCTGCCTTCTGCTTTCACTACGCACTCACCTTTCACATCGAACATGCCTGTCGCCTTTCTCCAGAATTAAGATTTAATTAAGCCTGATTAAGAATATCTGGACTAATTGTTTCTATTTGAGTGACATAGTATCTTGAGGTGCCCTGTGTGTCACTGTTTTCTGGGTCAGTGCTCTCTCACTCTCCGTGTTGCACTCTTCTCATTTCATATTTTCTATTACGCTACACTCGCTCTCCAAATCCCCTTTCCCCCCCTCATCGCTATCCTCTCCTACTCTTAATTCTCTCGCTTCCTCCCGTCACCCACACCCACCGTTCTATAGCTTAAGCCTCTCACTGCGTTACAATACCTCGGCTAAGAGCATACAGGGCTGCCAAGCTGTGGAGATAGAAGATATCACCCCAAACTTCACAATTTCATCTTTCTTACATGACGTCAAAAGCTTTTCTTGCTGCACCATAAAGCCTGGTTTAATAATCTCCCTGTTATACTGCTATACTCAAACTTTTATGTCTGAACGACAGCCACTTTCAGATTAATTTAAAACCCCTACACCGCACGGCACCCATCACAAATGTTCATTTAGAGATTTTATCAATTCTAGCTTTCTATATGAACTGTTTATCCATTACTTTGAACTTATGAAATTAACAACTTATTTGAATTGTATATCCATGATCTTTAGCTAATTATCTGTTTTAAGTACTTTTTATTGAGCGAAGAAAGTGCATAGAAGTGTTTTTGTGTCACTGTTTATTTCTATTCATAGAAAAATAATTATAATAATTATATTATATCATTTTGAAAAATGATAAGAAAAAATAAGCAAATTTTTTAGAGAAAGGATTATTCAAAATTAAATTAAACTGACAAGGATTAAATGAATGTTTATTTACTTAACAAAAGAGACAAAATAAATCAAAATCAAAGAATAGGAAGATAACTCAGATAAGGAAGTCTAGGAACATTGATTTAAATCTTATCTTCCTCAGTCTACCTTATCTTCAAGAACTTCTGTAGCTAATTACTGTTGCTAACGCTTTCTTTTTTTTTACTCATTTTAACTTTTTTCATTTATACTATTTTTTATTCTGTTTAACTTCTCTGCTTTATTGCTGACTAGTTTTTACAGCAATAGCAACATGTGGTGTTAATGTGTTACAGCTCACTAAATATTCAGAATGTACCTATAAATTAGATTTAGGTTATATATTAATGGCTATTGGATTGCCGTTCTCCCATCACGTTTTTTTAGTATGAGCATTTACACTCAAGAATATTGGTAAAACACTTCTGTAGATGTGTCTAAAGGTAATGGCGCAGGGGCGAGAGAAGGAACGGACATTAATGACACTAGGTAATAGATTTTTAGCCAAAAAGCTTGAAGACCAATCACCCATGAGATCCATTTGGTCAAATGGCTCCAAAGGCAGAATATCTGTGTCAATCACATCAACACACCCACAGAGCAGTGATTCACCCAGATAGGGAATCAGGCCAACATTGAAATTAACTGGCTTGAACAATGGGTCATGTCTATTACTGGGCCGCTATGCCATCAATCATAAGAGGTGTTGCAGAGAAGCAAATACATCATAAAGTATGACCTCAACCGCACATTTACGATGATGAGAGGCTAGTTTAGTCGCGTGTGATGGGCAATATTCTCAATGACCTTGGTGGTGGCATGTGCTACGTTATATGCTCAGTTAGCCAGTGACATTAGCCCATCTGCGTCATACTGAACCACCCCGAGAAGCTTTAACCCAAATAAAAAAAGAACAAATGGTAAAAAGCTACTGTAAAATTATTCTGTGCAAAGGGACATGAAACACATGTTTGTACCTTGGCAGTGTCCTTCCTCACCCCCCTCCCCCCCTCCCTCCCTTATCGGCCCTCCCTCCACTCCTGACCTGGAGTAACAATATGTTCTAGGACTAATGGTGCTGGTGACATAAGATCAATGCTCCAGGGTTAACACAAACCTACACACAGCTGCTTAACCCTGCTTCTTCCCATGGACGGTGTGATACACACACATGCTTACACACATGTCATCAGGCATACAGCCGACTCAGCATTACCATTAGCATAAACGTTTCAGTGTCACAGGAGAAAAAAGGTGTCGTTTTAGGAGAAATAACTCATGAAATATGGATTATGTGTGTCTCCTTTAAGCAGGATATTCCAAAGGATGACTATGAAATGGGACGTTTAAGAAACCATCTCATGAATATTGTGAGATGGCACCACCAGCTCTGTCCTGTAAAGCCAATTGCAGCGGACAGGCTGATGCCATCCAAACAGATGTTGCTGTTTAGCAGAGCATACAGTGTAAACATTGAACAACATTTCACAGGATAGAAACTGCCCTCAATATCTCACAACTTCCTTGTCATTTTTGAATGCTCATGAAAAATGGGTTTTAGATTGCTCAATAAGAAGCTTTGTAATTCATCTCAACTGATCATTATACAGCACTGTAGGCTATTATAAACAAATCATGAAAACTATCATTGCTCACGATTTATTTATTTATTCATTCAATAAACGCTTTCGGTTTCAGTCGAGATTTGAAAGGATCATAAAGCATATATCAAGTAATATAATCCCCCTATGACAATAACATCTAATAAACATAATTTATTATGGTTAATATCCCTGGGTGATCTATGACATCGTCATAAATTAGATGTTGATCCATCTCTTATACAACTGAGGGCTTAGAGCTAAAAGACAACAGCTTATTTAGATTCATAACTCCATCCTTATTAAAATGTATAATAGATGTCTCATCTCATATGCATAACCTAATCATTCTGCATTAAAATGATTAGCTGCATGGACTACTGTAAATTGCCTTTCTAACTGTATTCAGAATAACTCCTTGAAAGTGTGACAGTGAAAGCAATGACTTCATCTTGAGCACTTGCACACACACAATCCAAACACACAATCTCAAACATCCGACCTATATATAGAGTTTGTATTTTGGGAAAGAGAGAAGTAATATCCTTCCCTGGATATCAGATACAAATAAAAATTGAAAATAAAACACCCAAAAGATAAGAAACAGAACAGAAAGATAAAAGCAGATCGGTTAGGATTAACAGAGCTACATATTTAACTACTTGATTCACAGATAAGCTTTACAATAACCTTAAACAAACACATAGAATAACTCCAGTTAGCATAGAATAGCATAGCAAGTACTTTAAGACACAGATAGACACAGAGGCCTAAGCAGGGGACACCACAAAGACTCCATGAAGACATGAAGTTAGAGCTGAAGAGACTCACAGGAAGGATTTGACGTCCAGGCCACGATTTTTCATCTGGTCCATCGTGTAATCCCAGCTGCCAGGATTCGCTTGTGAGCGCCCTCTTGCTCCACCTCCCCTACAGCGAGAGGCCCCCGCTCCTGATGGGCTGCCCCGAGCACCTCTGGGACCGCCTCTTGTACCTGCACCCCCACCCTCACCACCTCCCTCTCCTCTCCCAGCACCCCCGCCTCCCCCAGGCTGACCAGGTGCTGTGTGTAACTGTCCCAAACTCTGGGATGTTGTGGGGGGGTTGCCGAGGAGAGGGCCCGGCGGGTGGATGAGAGGCTGCTGGAGACTCTGCTGGCGGAGCAGCGTCCGGGGCCGGGTGGGGATGTGCTCCAAAGTGGACGCGTACGATAAGACCGGATCCCCAAAGCTGGGAGGGCAGAGGAGCAGGGAGGAAAGAGAGCGCGAAGAAGGCCACGGCCGGCATAGGATGGGATGATGAGGAGGGAGAGAGGAGTCAGAGGGCACGGAAGAGGAAGAAGAGGATGTAGTAGAGGAGCCGTGGCAACAGGAGGTGAGGTGGTCAGGGGATGAGACGTAGAAGAGAGGGAGAGAATCATCAGATATGACACATGGTGGCACAGGGCAGAAGGGAGACATGGGAGAAGAGGTCAGGTTGACGTCAGGATAGAAACAGGAAAGTTCATCAAAACAGGAAGTCGGGGGGGGGGGGGGAAGCAGGAAGAGTGATGTTGGGTGATAACGTGGCAGAGGGAGGAGCGTGGGGAGGTGGAGACAGGAGGAGGAGGAGAGAGAGAGAGAGCACCGTGAGGCAGCAGCAGTAACAGCAGTAGCAGAAATAGCAGTAGAAGGTGCAGCCCGAGTGGTCGCTGTGTGCCGAGTGCTGCTCATGGGCCCGAGTCGGGCAGCAGTGCGCAGTGTGTGAGCGCAGCCTGTGCGTCTGCGCCAGGTGTGTGTGCGCCTTGCGTGTCAGAGCATGCTGTTTGCGTGAGAGTGTGTTTCGCGGGGGGAGTGGGCGGATGTGCACCGTCCGCACAGGGCCGCGTCGCGCTGTGTGTGACGAGGGTTTGCAGGTTCCCAGCCTTCTCGTCGAGGGTGTTTTGGTCTGATGAGCGATCCCCATGTCCTCTACTCGTCACTTGACTTTTTCCATCTCTGATAGCCTCTCTTCCTGTCTCTAAGTCTTTTTAATACATGCTGCATCTCTAGAGACATCCCGAGAGCCAACCAAGTCCTACAGAACGACTCCCTCCCTCCGTCAGCCTCTCCCTTTCCACTCCTCCCTTCTATTAATGCCGTTGAATTGCCTTTATTACAAATGTTATTGCTCACATGTTGTTTAGATGTCATCACAGTGCACTTACACCAACAACTCCTATTTTGTTGGCTCTACAGTATCATGTATCATCTTTGATATATGTATTTCCAAATATATCCTCCTCTCACATCGCTGTAACCCAGACTACCAGAATGAGGTCATGAGAGCCACTCACATCAGTTAGATGCAGTTTACTCCGCTCTGCGTTACTTCACCTCAGATCATTTAGGCTTTTAGTGTCCATCATACTTAACCGTCACAACTGAAAGGATAAAAAGGGTAATGGAAGGTTTTGCCAAAAGAAAAACAGTTTGTTGGAGAAACCGTTAGAGGAGTGGCTTTTACACAGCGACAGAAAGATGGAGGGTGCGATGGGACCGATAAGAGCAGAGGGTGACGATGGAGGAGAGACAGAAAAATGGGGTGCGAGACACAAACACAAGAGACATAGACACTTATAGCAGCCTGAAAATAGAATCCAATTATAGACAGGGGGCAAAAAGAAAGATGAGAAGAGGGGAGAAGGAGGGAATGAGGAGTGAGGTAGTGATGAGCGTAAATGTGTTGTGGAGGAAGAAGTCACAGGCACGAGGTGCTAAAGGAAGGTGCAAAAGCATCACGAAGAACTGAAAATTAACTGTCTCATTCACAACGCGCTGTTTATAGACCCTAACTCATGTCATATGTCATGGCTGTGGGAAAGATGCAGTCGGTAACCAACATGCGGTTCACATTTCAGTCTAAATCTTAATTAAAAGAGCGAGTTCGCACGACATGAGGCATTACTTAAGTCAGTGTGAAAATGAGACTATTTCTGTATCTCGTGTTGGAGAGTACACTTGCAGGCATTGCAGTTCCTCACAGAAATAAATCATATTCTCCTGCAGATTCATACATGAGGCGCTATTGTGCAGCAGCTTGCCCACTGTGACAGCTGAAGGCTTGAGCCAGTGTGATACCGCTCCAGAAACTATTGTTATCGTCTCATGATGACGAGGGTTCACATTTCCTCAGTGCTCACACTATGATCTGTGGCCAAAATCTCACCTTGACACCTGAGCTGCTCTTTCCTCCCTGCTGAATGTGACCTGACCCCCCCCCCACTCAGAACTAATCATAGCTGTGGCCGAGGCACAAACCTGTAAGAATATGTCAAATGGAATAATTTAATGGATAAATATACAATTTGTATCTTCCTGATACTAATTCCGTTACCTTAACTTGCGTACTGGGTGATACCATTGGTATGAAATATTGCCAAATGACTGACTTATTTCTTGCTAACATGTCAGCTGTTTCGGTTCTTTCTCATATCTGTCGATGGTTGCAGATTCACAGTTTTGGATCGGACAGGTTGTGTGGATATGGAGCATGTGTTGTCGTTTTTGTGTCGAGTAATTGAGCAGAAAATAATATGGTAATAATGAGATATCGGTTCATTGCATACACTCGCATACTTGCCGACACATGATCTTGCATTTCAGGCTATATTGGAGGCATTTCCAACAGTGGTGTTGGAACAACTCTCGTAATAATGTGTTTTTATTCTGCTGCACAGTCACTGACATTTATTTTCTTTCTACCCGGGTTTGAACTCACTCGCTGGGTCTCAATCCTCCAGACTGCATGTGGCCCTGGACGGTCTGCCACCTCCCGGCCTTCACACCCTCTGACACCATGCTCTTCACGCTGTCACTGCAATAAGGACCCCCCCCATCATCCCCATGCCCAGTTGCTGCCCCCTTCTGACCCCCTGACACTGCCCCACTAAGAGAGAGAGACAGGGTGCGGAGGTCCCACAGCAGACAGAAGGTATAGAAGAGGGACAATAACAACAGGCAGAGGAGAAAAAGACCAAAGAGCGTGAGAAAAACAGACAAAAATACTCACACAGCCATACATAGGAAAATAGATTGAGCAACCACATGGCTAAGGAGGTGAGACAGATCAGTAGAGTGTGTGAATGGGCAGGTCTAGTTTTCCAGGCCAACAGAGAGGCAGGGATGAAAAGGTCTGTGTGGAGTCCAGTGGGGAGAAAGAGAGGGATTGGGGAGAGGAGAGCAGGGAGGAAGAGGAAGAGGAGATTTACAGGCAGCCTGTGGAGGATGGAAAACCAACAACAAGTCACTCCTTTGGGCCTGGAGGACCAATACTACAGCTGCCAGCATTCACTAGTGGCAACATTGTTCGGACGCCAGTGATTTGGGGCTCATTCTCTCATTCATTTAGGCATTTGGGCCTTGAGATGTGCTAGTATACAAGGAAATTGAATAGGAGTAACTTAGAGCAACTCGAGGAAGGCTTGTGCTGAAGTGCCTCACGAGAAAATAATCAACTCATTTTGGAAGTCATCCAAAGGGCCATTTGGTTAAATACAAGTGCATTTGCCCCGAAAAACATCAATTACAGTCTATTTTTAGATCCTAATGGCCAATATTTCATTGTTAAAGATCTGCTTGTCATCTGATAACCACTTAGCATCAATAACAGTAAACAGGAAGTAGTGAAATACCTACACCACACAGTAGAAAGGATCATAAGGGCAATCTAATCATATCGACCTCGCACAAAGGTTCAGAAATTAACCCGTGTTTGTACTTACAGTAAGAGCACTCGCCAACTCAGATTTCCTTTAAACTCTGGTTTTAGGTTTTGGGTTTAAAATGTCAAATCTACTGAAAGCAGTGATGATCACAAATAAAGCACAGTAGTGCCCTCTGGTGACATGACTACATTTCATTAAAATGCATGGTGCTCCTGCTCGGGGAGACATAAAATATGAGGCAGAGAGGACGCTGTCGTCTGGTGTGTAAGCGAGGGGGGGGGGGGGCTACGCTTGCATCATGTCGCTCTGAAGGTCACCTTTCACATTTAATTCTGACCAACTGACCTGACATGGATAAGTTATCAATCACAACAACAGCATGGATGACACTGCTGAAGCAACGGTCAACACAAGAGACACGGGCCTCATTCATCGAGCACAAGGTGAACGGCTTTCCGCTTTAAAAAGATGGGAAGACGTAAATAAATGGGACCATGAATCACTAAGATTATTTACAGGAATATAGCTTTCAGTTATCAATCCTGCTCCCGTCTGAACTGAAGTGATTTGTAAATGAAATATAGCCACAGTCTTGACATTTCTTTTTCATCACGAAGCTGTCGGATTGATCAACTCAAGTATAATATACTTGATGCACACATTAGAAAAATGGTTTATGTCCATCTGACATTTTTAAGTTTGTGTCTCTTGCTGATACAAGGTTTTTAAAGAGCTCAATATTGAAAAATTATAGTATTGAATGTCCAGTCCAATAAATCCTTAAACATGCAGATTGATGGTTTCCTGTGTGATGAATGAGGCCCGATGTCATTAGAAAGATTGAAAGCTGCTGATCTCGAGAGAATCTTAAGCAGGAAATAATTCCCAGCTGTGTGTTGGCTGTACCGGCATATTATTGGTTGGAGTCGAGAGGTCGTCCCATGTCTCTCCTACTTAAAAAATATCTTCATAATGTTTCCTATTTTTAAATGAATTTCCGAAAGTTTGCTGGCTCAAACACTACCGATAAAAACAACTTGTTTTAACATTACTGCAGTGAAGAGTTCATTTTTCACCGCTGCAAAGACAGGACCGGCTGAAAAACAGCTCTATGGACAATAAATTACATCCTTGAGTTTTTTTTTTTTTTTAAATGAACGTCTCAAACACACGCACTAGGGTATACAGCAGGTTTCCTGAGATCAGCAGCCATCATCTGCAGGCAGAGTTTCCAGACATTAATCCATATATCCACCGCCTTCATAAGCACTGCTGCCTCCCTTCTTCAGGCAATTTAACACATAGTCCTCAACAGCTAGGTCTATTAAAGATGACCAGTTATTAGACAGTGAATCAGACACATGCCTGGTAGCAGGATGTCTGGGCTTAGAGCCTCCTTGCGCCCAGGGGGAGATAGGTATGACCTTGCTACTGCTTTATTGGATTCAATTGCCTAGTGAGTGAGAAAAGGACTTTTATGGCATCAAGTAAAAAAACACTGTTACCTTATCTTCTGATAGACACACAGTTCAAGTGCTACAGCGTAAGTGCAGTACACATCAGATTTGGATGTTGGGATGGATGTAAACCACAGGTGAACACTGGCAACACACTGCAACCTGGTTTAACGGTCAACCCTCCACAACAACAACAACAACCGATCACACACGCAAAAGACGGGGAGATACACAGATTACGAAGAAGGTGGGTTAAAGTATACACCTGTCTTTTAAAAAGGAAAGCTACGAGGGTTGTCCGTCTCCATGGTTACAGCCCCATGGGAGAGAGGTGAGGTTAGAGGTCGGGAGTTAGTGGGACCGGCAGGGCTGTAGGGAGTGGGGGGGGGGGGCAGCTGAACATGCGCCTCTGTGTTTATTAGGAGGTGACGGGGATGTGAGGAGTAGCGGCAGAAATTAGCCCGGGGAGGTTACAGGGCTGTGCTGCTTTGACGCTGCAGTAATGGCCGAATTGCTGTTGTGGGTATGCTGTAATGTGCGTGTGTGACATTTCCTACACTCACATTTCCCAAGCAGACTATGAGTAATCATTAGTAACCATTTGTGCCCTCCAGTGTTCTGACATCGGGTGGGTTGTTATTGTTGCCGTTATTACTATTGTTGATGGAAATCGCATTAAACAACAATTTCAAGTCCAGAAATGTGTGGTTTGTGTATATTGCCACACTGTGACATTTATAGCATGGGCTTTTCTTTTTCAAAACGCCCTTGGCCGAACATCCCCGGTTACTCATGAGAACATTTTAGCCCAAGGAGAATAAAAATAATCAAGATTATGAAACTTGGTTGATTTAATTAGCTGTCAGACATTATAACATCCACATCTCATAGTTCAATTTGATGAGTGGCTTGTGGTGGTGCACAACTTGAAAACAGGGTGTTGGGGGTGGAGAGGAACAGGAAGGACATGCCTAAAGGAGAGGAACTAAGGAAGGACACTTGCCCCTGCCTCCTTACAGCCCTGCTCAGGGGAAAACTCTTACCAACCTTGGACCATGACTCACTTGAGTGTGAGGCGTGGATCTCCATATGGGGCATAGGGAGAAATGTTTAGTACGAACTCCTTGGGCGGATAGGAGCTCCACCTCTGCTGCACTGTGCTGCTGTCATTGTTATTCCAAAAGTCTCTGTCTAGATCACTGCGGCCAAAGAGAGAGACAGGTCAGAGCAACACAACTTTGACGGCCTCGGCACCAACCAGCCAATCGCAGCAGGCGTTCCTGCTTTGATGACATGGCTTAGTTTGAGGCAAATGGTTAGTGTCATACAGCTGCACTGAATGGGAGTTTCAAACAAAACAGGCCCAGATTAATGTCTATTTTTCCACCCGCACTTGACAAATGTGTGGTTAGATTTTAAAATAAGAAAGGGGCAGCCTGGGGGAAAAAAGGCATTTACAAAAGCTTTTTCATAAGAGCAATGGGCTGTAGCAAAGACACAGAGAGATAGAGGAGGAGAAGCAAGAAAAGAGGAAGTTATAATCTGATGAATACACACAGCATGTGATTACATTCTGTTCATCTAGCACGGCACCACTGATGAAACATATTAGAGTTAACATTAAGAAGTCAGGCCCCCATCCTCGGCGTGAGCAGTGAGAACACAAACGCATGAGACACAAGGCAGAGATATACATCGCAGACAGTTAAGTAGAGGAGGAAAAGGTGAGCAGAATCACTGATGTCATACAAGTCACACAGCAGAGGTCAGAGCTGCAGCACAGGGACAGAGCCGGAGAGAAGCCAGTGCACACAGAGAAGAAGTTTCAAGCTGAAATGACAAACTGAGCACACCAATGCTGCTGGAGCCAGTGAGAAAGAAAATGCTAAATTAAGATTCAAGGGAGCTCAAGTCAGAATACATTCACATTGTCCATCTTTAGTGCGTCCGTACAGAAAATGAAAAGTAAACAAAAGACATTCAGAAATAGCTGAAACAGCGGCAGGCTATAGAAGAGAAGGAGTGATGAGCAGGTTAATGGGAGGCATTTTGTAGAATTAAGTTGTGTGCTTAGCATTACAAAGCTGACATGTTCTGGTGCTGTAGCTCTCCTTTCCCAAGAACAGAAACCACTTTATTCTTAGTTTGAGCCCTGAAAGAAATGTTAAATCAAAAATATTCCCCAACATTTATTTCTCTAATGAAGGCACACAACTTTCAGCATTTTAAGCAATGCAGAGGCGCGGCTAAAGGCCTGCACTTAAGGGAGAGCTATCTCACAGCCCATAAGATAAGTGGGGCAGGCTCGTCCAGCCAAAAGCTTCACAGGTAAGATAATGCAAATGTGTTACTGATTAAATCACTAACCTTACGGTTAATGTCTACCCGAACATGCTCTTGTAGAGGTTGTGCTCTTCAAGATAAAACTACAGGCCTTCCTTTTCCGCCTTGTTTGTGTGTGATGTACATCATGGGAGTCGAAGCCGAACCAAAAAGGAGTTCATCATCACCAAATTATTCTACCCCAACCCGTTACCAGGCACTTACTTGATGGCTTTCTTCTCCCCTCGCCCACGTGCCGAGTCTGGAGTGTCTGCTGTCTCCACTCCTGGCTTATTCCTCTTGCCCTGGAGCAAAGTGGAGGGAGGAGATGAGAGAGAAAGCAGAGAAAGAAAAGGTTAGTTTAGATTTGTCCTTTGAAGCGGTGTTTTTGCTTTACTAATTTCAAGTGTAAATGCCTCTCCCATTATCTCAGGAACACTGTGCCATCAGTCCTTCGCCCGGTGGTCTCCTGATTACACTCCTCAAAGTCAAATCAAATCTGCTTTTGAGAGCCTTTTCTGACTACGATTATCATTCGCACCACCCTGAAATGTACATGGCAATTGCCTCTTTACGGTAAACCGCTGGGAACTGAAGAGAAGCATCGAGAAAGTCCTGCAGCAACCTGATTTCAAACAGCTAGAGCATGACCTGCTGTAACCATGGAAATAATAGCAATTTAAAGGCTTGGAAAAGTGAGGTCTGTTGGACTCATTCTTGTGGAAAAGCTCATTACAGTTAAAGGTGTTTCACATGTGTCACAATGCAAGTAATCTGTATTGACACTTTTGCTACAAGTGGGACAGGGAGGGGATCAGCCTTAAGCCGCCCTGCTCCACCCCGAATACCACGCATGATTCCTTGAAAGTGATGCTCTGATACACATCAAAAATGGGCAAAGATTCTGCGGCCCAGGAAATGAGTGGGAGGAAACCACACTAAGCTGCCACTTTGGCTTGGTGTGGACAATTGGATATTAAGTTGGATGGCAATTTGCTGTGGTAGGCTTGCTTGTTGTGGATTGAATGTGAAGCCTAAAACCAGTGATCCTGGATAGGCAACCCTGCTACCACTTTGCTTTTGAAAAGAGCCTTTATTATAAGCCTCAGTAGACCCAGGTAGAGTTCTGCTACATGTCCTTAATCCTAAAGACAGCATTATCAGGTTAGTGGGTTTTGTTATAGAATAAATATGTTGAATCAAAAGTCGTTTTTGCTGTGGTACAATTAGTTTCTCCATATGCTTGTGTTGTTCATGAGCATTGCTTGCATCCTACATATTGTCAAATCAGTCTCTGGTACATAACCTCTAGCTGATTGCCTCTGAGTTTTTTTCCCATCTTTACTGCTTGGCTCAATTGGTTTGTGTTTATGAAGACAGGTTGAATATGGGCTGTTGTAAATGCTGTGCATATGCCGCAGTAAACAAGTGGTCAGAAATATATTTGCTGGCCACACTTTCTCTCTGTGCTAAAAGCCACTTGAGTGGAAGACTTCTTCTTCTACCGACCGCCTGTTGTTCGTTAAGCCTGTGGGTGGCTGTTCTGGGAAAGGAAAACAAAAGAGCAATCAGAGTTAAGTCTGCAGAATTGAGAATGGTAAAATCCTCTTCCTATATAGCCACCTAGCTCCATTTATAATTAAAAGCCACACAAAAAATGGAAAAACGGAAATATTTCGAATCAATAGTTGTTTGTTGTCTTTTGGTTTTAGATGATTTGTTTGGGGCTCTGTTATTATGCAGATGACAGCATAGAGGCAGACTGGAAACTAGGCGAGAGAAAAAGGGTGTGACATGCAACAAAAGTCCCAAGGCCAGTCTGACCCGGGAAGTTGCAGTTTAACGGCATGCGCTGTAACAATTTGGCTATAGGCGCTCCAAGAGTTTATATTTCTGTGAATAGACAGGAAAAACAACAGGCAGTCTGGAGAGGATATCTCCCCTCAGGTGGCTTGAAGCATACGAGCAAGAGTGGCTTGCAATCATATTTCTGCCACTTGTCCACTGCAACATACGCAGCATTTACAACTGCCCATATTTAACATGTCTTCATAAACACAAAGCCATCGAGCCAAGCAGTAAACATGAAGAGAAACTCAGAGAGGCAATCAGCTAGAGGTTATGTACCAGAGATCGAATGTACTCAGATTTATGTAGGATGCATGCAATGCTTATTAATAGCACAAGAGTATAATAAAGCAAGTAGTGCTACAGCCTTGATTTATTTCTAATATTTGCTGTTCTCGATTTCTTTTGAAAACGTATCATACTGGTAATCTGAGTTCAATGTAGTGGTAATTTATAACAATTATAAATTACAGTTTTTCTTTAAAGTTTATATACTGAGCAGGCAGAGTAGACTCCATTATGTCCAGCTAACACGGATATCATTTCCAACTGCTGTCCACACATTGTGGCTCTTGATATTATTAAACCTGCTACAAAGCCAGAGTTGACAATAGCCCTGCTGAACAAAAATGATAAAGCCCACAATGGCACTACCGAGCTAAAAAATAATATCCATCACACACAAGAAAACAAAACCACTCATCTGTTGTATAATCATCACCAACCTGAAATAGAAAGGTCAACAAATGAATAAACATAGCTCTGACAGGAGCGACTAGTTAAACAGCTGCACACAAAAGATGTGTGTGTTAATCAAACGCATACTTGTAGATTAACAGTGTCTTTATTAACCATAACTGAACAATTCACAAATTGATGGACACAATTTAGGATCTTTTTTTGTCTGTTTTCCGCTATAATAGCCGTATCGTTGGACTGAAATCATGGATGAATACATTAAAGGTCCCATTCATGCTTTTCCGGTTATTACCCATCCCCTTGTGTGTGATGAAGGTTTGTATGCATGTAAACGGTCTGCAGAGTCACAAACCCTCAAAGTACACCAAGTAAAACTCTAACACAGAAAAGACCTGTCTATGCTGCCCCAAAACGCCTCGTTGGAGATTTCTCTTTTTACATTGTTTTCTTCTTAGGTACAGTGACGTGCCCATACCCAAATGGACCCATTGCGTGGAGCTCCTCACACACACACACACACACTCTCTCGGCGGCGAAACTGGTGACTCGCTGGGGGGGGGGTGCTAGTGGAGCTTACACTGTAGGTGCGCCGCTTTTTGGGGGGTACGGGGGGGGGTTTGCGGGTGCTAGTGGAGCCTCGCAGATGGGGGTGCTGCAGCCCCCTCAGCATCCCCCCCTTCCCCCGTCCATTCGCGATGTCTCGCTGTCTCGCAGACCCCACGCAGTATTCTCATCTGTTTGTCCTTACTGGTGTCATTTTCTGGTTGCCAACTCCAGTGTAACACATAATCACTGATGTTCCGCTGTAACGGTGGTGGACTCATCAGAACAGAGTGGGCGAGCTGACCAATCCAGAGCACAGTGGGCTCACAGGGAGGGGGGGGGGGGGCAGGAGCTCCAACAAGTCGTTTAGGACAGAGCGTGAATACACATACTATACAGAGATGCTGTATGAGAAACCAATGTGAGTTTGGAAAATTGCACAATATACATCTATTCTAGTATACCTCAACAATGGAATTATGATCAGTAGAAATGGCCATGTCATGGGACCTTTGAATTGTTTACCCCATTTTGAGTACACAAAGATGCATACAATGCACCACTAAAGCTTCAAAGCATCCACAGGAGGTAGACGTTTCACAATAAATACTGCATTCTTGTACGTCAATTTCAGGGGATTAAAAACGTTCTGAATCTCTGTCATGCGGGGAAAAGCTATCAAAGGAAACTCATGTATCATTCAATGCTATCGTAAAAATGTCAGGATGGTGGGAAGACAGTGGATGAGCGAGCGTCCAGAGGAGTGAGAGCTGAAAATAGAAACCAACTGTAATGGAAAAAAGAAAGAACAGAAGGAGTGAAAAACAAGGACAGTGCAGGATGGTGTGAGAGACAAAGAGATGATGGGGAGAGGCAGGTGTGAAAAGTGAACTGAGGGAGACAGTGAGTGACAGGAAGTCCCCGGTGCATTGGATGTGGAAACCAGAAATGGATGGGCATCGAATCCCATGATCCTCATTTCCATGCACACAAATACACAAAGAATTACACAGCTTCAAACCATATTCTCCACCTTTCCATCAGCTCATTCACAAGAGTAAATCACAAACACTCTGCTTCTATCCTTAGGGGAGGTGTGGAGGCTGCAAGGATCCATGGTGATGAACATAACAAAGCTCTCCATCTCTAAAGATAAGAAGATGCGATAGAGAAGCTCAATACCCCCAAATGAGGGTTAAAGCATACCAATGGAGGAGTGAGCAATTTCCCCCTCATCCTCTGCTCAAATACCCTTGAAAATACTTATGATTAATTTATACCAGACGTCTTTGTTAGGCGTCAAATGGCTTCACATGATTACAGTATTCAGTGCTGTCTGGCTCTGATCCATGAGTTCAAAATAGCTCCAACTGATACAGTGAACCAATTATGAGACAAAGTGCAGCAAGTCTCATTTAGAAGAAAAAAAACAACAACCAACTAACATTTTTTCTTAATCAAGCCCCAACAGAGAGAGTTATAAACGGCATAGTCTGAGCAGCAGATGAGCAGGTGTGTCGCAGCGAGAGATTCAACAAAGGGAGGGGGCTCGAAAATGCTGGAATTAAGCTTTTATTTATCTGCAAATTTGAAATAATGGTTTATAAAGCTTTCAGCATCAAAAGTAAACTATTACTGTTGGCCAAATAAATATGGATCGAGCCTCTATTCAAGCCGTTCAGCCTTCACGAGCACTTTTGTGTTTACTAACATCACTGGTGGAAGTAAATCTTTAGCTGCATCAGAGATGTTTAATAATTTAGACTCAGTAGTTATTTTAAAAGATTTCCTGTATTTGCAGTCCAGGTTATAATCTGTATATATAGTCTTATAATAATTTTCTCACGGTGGCTATTTTTTGCACACTTTATTGTGTTGTCGATGATATTTGAAATTGCCTCTTTTTACACTCACAAACCCAAAATGACAAAGTAAAGACATGTTTTTTTAGGAATTTGTGCAAAAAGATCTAAAACTGAAATCGTTCACATTTAAGTATTCAGGTCCTTTGCTGTGGCACTCAACATTTTGGTCAGGTGCTTCCTTTTTTAATTATCCTTAAGATCTATTCAACTTGATTAGAGTCCAGATGTAGCAATTAATTAAATTGTTCGGGATAAAAACCAAGCCATGAAGTCCAAGGACCTCCACTTAGAGCTCTGCCAAACAAGTGTGACGAGGCCGAGAACAAAGCAAGGGTATACAATCAAAAGCT